AATAAAACAAACCGTACGCAGGTGCGGTCCGAGTCCTCGTTAATTCTGACGGTCTTGTTCACGAGGTTTTAGAGATGTAGTAACGAGGGCGTTGGTCCGGTTTGCCGAAAGGCGAAGCTCTCGACCCATTGATCCGTCTACATTCTGATCTCACCTTCAGTCCTGAGGTTTGGATTATAAAATAATCCAAGTACAAGCAGCAGAAATTAGAGACCTCTGTCATGTAGCCGGGCAGCTGGCGCCAAAGACGAAGGAAACTGTCCGATCTGTCAGAGTCGGCTGATCAGGACTGGAGGTTTTCTGGACAGGTCTGACTGAAAGGAGACCCAGATCTCATGGGATGGAGTTCATGTCCTGATGAGTTTGGATCCCCCAGGAGGATCTTGGGAGGAGGAGACATCTGGATGTGCTACCTCAGAGACCCTTCCACCGATGAACAGAAGAAAATGGATAATTCGATGGATCGACAGCCTAACCCTGAGGTTTAAGGTCGATGTGAGACCACTGGTTCGTGATAAAACTCCTGTTTGAAAGCTGGCGCCAAAGACGAAGGAAACCATCCGATCTGTTGGAGTCGGCTGATCAGGATCCAACTGAAAGACCCAGATCTAACTGGATGAAGTTCATGTTGGGGTCCTCCAGGAGGATCTTGGGAGGTGCCCACCACTAAAACTGGGGGATTGAACCCAGAATCTTGTTGCCATGAGGCATCAGTATTAACCACTGATCCATCGCGCTGATGATCTACTGATCACCTGCAGTCGGGTCGGAACAAACACACGGTCGCCCACCTGTCATGGCGGCGGACTATAAACTATTGAAGTTTGTTGACTTTGTCGATTTAAAAAGACAGAACGACACCTGCTTTTAGCTTTTTCTCACAAAGTCTGTAACCAGTGCAGCCTTTTCTTTCACACACACACAAACACACACACACACACACACACACACACACACACACACACAGTCAGTGGGGAGATTAACGCTGGGCTCTGTACTCGACCTGGGACAAGAGTGTTGAAGCAGGGAGCGGCGTGTTCCCGGGGTGAAAGAAGGGGCAGGAGGAGCGCTGCCAGCACCTCCTGCTAATCTACAAGAGGAGGAGGAGGAGGATGGAAGGAAGGAGACAAGGAAAGGAGAGCGCAGAAGGAAGTAAAAAGCATTAAAAAGTTTTTCTTTTTTGGCTGATTGTTACGGTTAATTCAGGTAAGGAAAGTCGTAGACGAGGTGGAGGAAGAAATAGACAAATTCTAACAACTGAAGTTTAAGAAATTCAAAGAAATGTTGGTAAAAAAAACAAACAAAATGATTAAAAATAAAAGTTTAAGTTGAGTTTTTGATCCTGAGACTCTCAGTCCTCAATCAGAACCAAAGACGTCTTTTAAACTGACAAAATAAAGTCCAACATGTTCTGTCTGTTCTTCACAAACATAAATCACCGGTGAAGTCGCCGTACAGTCTGTGCCGTCCGTTCATTTCCTGTGATCTGACCCAGATTCAGTTCAGACTGTCTGGACCTGGGGTTCCCAGTCCGGGTCCAGGAGGGCCGCAGTCCTGCGTGTTTCAAATGTTTCTCTGCTCTTCAGCAGGTCGAAGCACAGAAACCTCTGACACCTCTGGTCTGATGCACCTGATTTGAATAAACGAGTGATTAACGGGTTTTTGCAGAACCTGAAGAGCACGCAGGACTGTGGTCCACCAGGATCGGGATCCGCTGGTCTGGACTGTCTGTGCACATAGTTGACCAGAAGAAATGACATCCTTGGTGTTGTAGGAACAGAATCAGTGAACTTCTGAGTTTGTGTCAATACAGAAGATGTAATTTGTGACATCGGCGAATCAGGGTCTCATCTTCAGTAATGAGGACGTCGCTTCGGTTGATTTGGTGAAGAAAGAGTTGAGTCAAAAACCAAAGTTCTGGATTTACTGGTCCATCAATGTTCTAAACCTCACCTGTGGTCATGAGGTCTGGAGGAGGACTGAAAGAACCAGATCCTGGATACAATTGGCCAAAACGATCTTCCTATAGGCTGGTCAGCAGCGGTGGACACAGGCCTGCTAATATGCTAATAGCGGAGCTAGCTTCTTATGTAGCAGATTCGCTTTTTTGCTAACTTTGGAAATCATTAGCTTCCGCTAAATAAAAAAAAATTGTAAACATTAATTTACAAGCGTAAACCTGTTTATCACGAAATAAATAAAATCTATCCTTTCTTACACAAAAAATAAACTTCAAAACAAGAGCGCCATAAATAAATAAAATAACATTTAACAATATTTGAATAACATAAGTCAAAACTGAAAATACGGTAAAGACAGTAACTGGTTAACTTCAAACGGTTTTTATCAAAATACAAACTCAAAGAAATGCTTTTCTGAAATGGGTAAACTGCAAGTATCAGAAGTTAGAGTCTTTACTCTGTTTGGATTGGCCGATTTGTCACAGCTGACCCCGCCCACCTTCAAATTAAACCTATAGAAAACTAACAACAGGTTTGTATCTGTCCACCAGTCTTCTTAGCAGCTAGCGTTAGCTTCCAATAATTTTGGCTGTGTCCAAAACGACAGGCCGAGTCCTCCGGAGGACCCAGACTTCCCGGTCTCGGCGGGCCGGGTCCTTGGTAGACCAGGAAGACCGGAAAAAAAGAGGATGTGACTTTGGACGGTCTAGCCTCCCCTCCACCCCGGCGTATGTCTTGTCACCTAGCAACTGTGACGACGCTAAACAAGCAAACTTAAATCAAAACTAGAAAAATATCAATACATTAGCATTATTAATATCACAAAACTATAATATTAACTTAAAAGTATCATTTGAAGAACTAATTGACCCACTGTAGGTTCATGTTTATTTCGCGTTTTCTTATGACAAAAATAATATTTAAAAACTCGTCCATACAAATGATAAAAGTATTAGAATTACAACCGCTAACATTTTTTAAATTTTTATATCGCCATATTTTTATTTAAAACGTATTCTTTTGTTTCGCTTCGTCCGCCATTATAGCATAAAAAAATCTCCAGTTGGGCCGCAATGCATTATGGGATACGCTGGGCCGGGAAGGATCCATCAGACCAGTCCTTCGATTCGGGCCAAAGGAAGGACGTATTTGTCGGACGCATCGGAGGAGTCTTCGGTTTTGGACGGCCTTCGTCGCGTCGCTGTGACGTATGCGGCCGACAAATTCGGCCTTCGGAGGACCCGGCCTGCCGTTTTGGACACAGCCACAGTGTTAGTGAAAGATTTTTTCACCCGACAACGACTCTTAATGATCTCCAGAGTACAGAATTAGCATATTACATGTACCAACATTAAGACGTACAGGTCCAGCCAAGAGGAAAAAAATCACTCCAAAGTGGATTAAAGCCATAAAAACAAAGGAAAGACGTTCGTG